GCTGTGCTCAGTGCTTTCCTTGTGCGGGTGAGACACACAGGCTCAGAGAGGCCACTGACTTGCCCAGGAGCACACAGGCCTCGGAGACCTTAAAGGCCAGGCTGACAACCCCTGATGCCATGAGTCTCCGCTCAGCCTGCTTCTCTCTGTCCATGCTGCGGTTCTAGCGCACAATACAGGCTTTCAGGCCTTCGGCACTCTGGCGAGGGCTGGGGGCTTGTTCTGGATTCTTCCCCCCTCGGTTCCTGCTTGTCGCCAGCTTGATTGCTCTTACCTTTATGGCTCCGTCCGTGCGAGAGCGGCCATATGCTCAGTGCCTTGGGTTACAAAGCGTCATCGCTCTTTCTCATCCTATCTCTTTGTGGGCCCTGCCAGATGTATTTTTGGAAATGCTTATGAAATATCAGAATGCAAAATCAAGTCTGGGCGAAGGTTGCCACCATGTGAAAGCCACATGGCTTACGAGAGGGGAGTGGGGGGGGGCCCTCCTGAAAACCAGTCAGCTTGAACGTGACACATCCAGTGTTCCTTGTGCAATGAATTGTTTTTATTTTAAAAGACCCAAATCAGAAAAAGAACAACATAGTCATTGCCCTCAGAGCCAGAAGCTTTACAGTCCTGTCAGCAGGATGGAGCGGAAAGGACAGGGGGCCTGTGACATAGACCACCAGCCCTTCAAAGAGCAGGAGGCGCTTGGGCCCTGGGGCCAAAAGGCCTGGATTCGAAGCCGTCCCTGACCCTCCAGGCAGCCTTGATATCTTTCGTTTTCTCATCTGTAAAAGTGGGGAGGGTAACAGGACTGTCCTAGATGGTTTACTGAGACTGTTTAGCCTGCTGGGACTTCTAGGCCTGAGGATTTGATGCTTGCTGAGGTGACCCACCTCTGGTTGCTCAAGCCCTTCTGCATCCAGGCTCTGCCATTTCCCCAGCTGTTCTAGAAGCATAGCTCCTTGGTGGTAGTGATTCCCCTCCTGCATCCCTGGAGGACACCTTCTGCTCCTTCATTATCACCTGGCATCCCCTGACTTTACAAGGACGGGACCCTGGTGTCCCAGAGGCAGAAACCTTCTCAAACTCCCTCCAGGCCAGAGGAGGAATGTTTCAGGATAGATCCAGGGGTATGCACCATGGATCCAAGGGGCAGGAAACGCAGGCCCCTCCAGGGGTGGAATCCAGAGGATTCTCCATGTGTGCTTTCTGTCTGTCCTCTCGGCCCGTCTGAACCACTGACCTCTGTTCATGCCTCTGTTTTCTCTTTCTAATGGCTCTGCCCCTTTGTCTCTCTGTGTTCCTCTCTTTCCTCTCGGTCTCTGTCTTCACCTTCTCTGTCTGGAGCTCCCTCTCTCTCTCAGGGCCTGGACAGGGTGAGGCAAACAGGATGCCCTGCAAGATGGCATTTAGGGAGGCAATCAGTCTTGGGTGCTGGCCCTGCCCTTGCGTGAGCTTGAGAGTGAGTGTGGACACCTCACCCTGGTGCAGGCCCTGCTTTCCTCTCTGTCACCCACTCCCTCTTTTTGTCTCCCCGACGCGCCTCTATGGCTGAGTGTTGGTTTCTCTCCTGACACATGGTGTTTGGTTTCTGCTCGTCTCCGAACATTAGCAGCCTGATCTTTCTGCTTCTCTGGGCACAGGGCTGAAGCTGGCTGCCCCCTGGTCCAGCAGTCTGATTTCAGATTTCAGGAGGTGCCTACAGGCCAGCTTGGTCAGCTGTTCACACCTCGTCCAGTCAGCTGTGGTTAGGGGTCCCCCAGCCCACCAGCAGAGCCCTGAAAACAGGCTCTCTGAGGAGGGACTGCTCAACATGAGGACCCTCTCGGCCGTGGGTCCGCTAGCCTGTCCCTCCAACGTGAAGTGTGGCACAGGGGTACCCCTCGCTTCTCCCCCCAGAACGCAGACAGCTTTGCCCCAGGCCTTCCTGGGAATTTGGGAAAAACAGAGCCAGAGCTAAGTTTGAGAACAGGCCCCCATCTCATGGGGCTTTCAGTGTATTAAGTATCAAGCCGCCTCCCTCTTAAATATTCTCGTTCTTCCAGCTGTATCTGCAGAAAAAAATCGTCATGCCCCATTTTGGGGTTCCAGTTTTAGATGGCTAAACTGTGTGTGGCAAAAACACTCTCTGCTGTCTCACCCCCTCCCGGCCAAATGCTTTAGAGACTCTGGGGAACATCAGGGAGCAGGGGCAGTGGCCTCACTGTGGTGAGGGAAGGCCGGGAGGAGGCTGGCGGCGGCGGTCCGGGGGGGCGCACAGAGCTCCCGTGGGGCTTGGGCCACAGTCAGCCTGTGGGGATGAGAAGGCTGAGGGCACTGCCCAGCTCCCCTCTTGTTTCTGGCAGGACTTCAGCTGCTGTTTTCCAAATTTCCTCAGCGGCTCTTACATAGCAGCAGGAGGATTTGGGGAAGATGCTGCACAGTGTCAATGGGGAAGGTGTGGTAATGGGGCTTTGGGGCCATTTCTTGCCTTATTGGGAGATGGAGCAGGGGTGCAGGAGAGGCCTGGGGATGGGCTTGGAGGCTACTGGGGGCCCGTGGAGCTTTAGCAGGGGTTTGCCCAGCCCAGACTGTGACCCGACCTATTCAGGATTTGTGCAGACCTGCCGTAGCCATCAGGGGCCTGCTCCGGGTCGAGGCTCCGTCTTTGGTCAGTGTGCTTCTGGGGAAGACAGGACCGAACCGCCAAGCTTTGCTGGCCTCCTGCACAGACAGAAGAGGCCAACCCTGGTGGAAAAGTCTCCTTACTAGCACCAGGGGAAAGCTTATCAGAGGCAAACATAGGCAGTAAGTCATTTTTATAATTATAGAATCCAAGCCTGGGCCATCTTTCCCTGGAATCTTTTATTTCATTCATTCAGCTAACACTTGCTGAGCCCGCATGAAGTGCCATGTTCTATCCAGGCGTTGGGGATGCTCAGGTCCCCCATCCTTCAGCCTAGCAGGGAGGACAGATACCCACATAAACGGAGAACTCTGATGGGATGTGAGAGAGATTCTCACAGCCAGGTGCTCACAGGGAGGATGATGGCTGGAGGGGATGGATGAGGCTGGACAGGGAGGCTGGCGCAGCCCCCGATGGGGGCATCAGCCTGGCCCAATTGAGCTCTTAAACGCCCAGCATTGAGCCTCTTTGAATCTGCAGCTGGAGCAGCTTCCGTTTGCCCCTGGCTTTGTGCAGGGCTGGGGTGGGGCACAGGGTCTTGTAGGACAGAGCTTGTGTCCCCCAGGAAGCGGCTGCTCTGTCAGAACCTGGGCTCGCTCCGGCCCCATGAGCCCCGCACTGCCCGGGTTGCACACATCAGCTCGGCAGTTTGTGGGCAAACCCTCTTGGCCGAGGGGAGATTGCACCGCCAGCCACTTCCTCCCGTTCCTTCCCTCTGCCTGTCGTCAGGGTTACCTCGGCCGTGTTGGGGGTGAGGTTGAGGTTGGGCGGAATCAGTTCTGTCCTGGTTTCTATTTTCCCAGATGCAGGTCAGCCAGAGGAGCTGTCACTTCTGGTTCTGTTTCAAGGGAGGCCAAGGGGTTGGGAGGTGCTTGGGTGTGGCGTGGTTGACAAGGTGCCTCTCCAGCCGGCCTCCCAGGAGGGGTGGGAGTGGGTCAGGGAGAAGCTCAGAGGTGGCCGGGAAGGAGAAAGGGCCGCCTCACCAGGGCCTGTGCTGATGGCCATGGGTGCTGGTCTCCGGCCAGGCTCTCGGTCCTAAGCTCCTAGAGCATGCCGGGAGTGCACGGAGGGAGGCTGTTTATTTTCCTGGCCCGGGGCCCTTTCAGCTGAGACCTTGTTCCAGGCCTCAGGCTGCCAGATTCACCCCCACTGGCTCAAGAAGTGAGAGAGTTGGCAAGCCCAGAGCAACCCAACGACTTCTCTAGTGGCCTCTGACTCTAAGCTGTCCTCAGCCCAGCTGGTCCCGTGTGTCCTCCAGATCCTCCTGGTAGCTAACGGACAGCGAGAGGCACCGCATCAAAGTGATCCTGATGGGTTAGGGCTGTGTCGGCCTGTGGTCAGTCAAGAGCAGGAAGGTTGAAGTCAGAGAAATCCGAGTTGGAATCCCGACTCTGCCATTTCTTAGTTGGATGGCCTTGGGCAAATGGAACCCTGCAGCTTCGGTCCCACCAACTATAAAATGGGACAGTAATAGGACCTTCCTCACTGACCGTGAGGATAACGTGACCTGTGTGGAAAGCATTTAACAAACAGGCATCGAAGAGCAGTTGTTGTTATTATTAAGGAAATAAGAGGACCTGCAACTTTCATTGAAAGTCAGGGTTGGTGGGCAGTGAGTTTCTTCCTTCCCATTTAATGGGCCCGGTCTTATGCATGGTGAACTTTCTAATGTGTCCCGGGGAAGAAGCAAGCAAAGCTGGAGACTCAGGAAGCCTGTCTGCTTGTGTCCCGCACAGGGCACTCTGGGGCGCCCTGGGATCCTGGGATACAGGTGGGCGTCATGGGGGAAGAGCATGCAGAAGCTGGGAAAAGGATCAACGCCGGGTGAGGAGACTGGGGAGACTGGTTAGGAGCACCAGGAGGTGGATCGGAGCCTCTGGAAGAACCAGGAGGGACAGTACCCTGGGGAGGTGGAAGAACGTGGGGGTAGAACGTGAAATCTGTGTTCATGCTCGAGGCATTTCTTAAAGGAAGTGTCTGGGGACCGCTGGCCTGGAAAATAGTACCCAGCAGGCTCGGGCTGGGCAAGAGAGCAGACCGTCACTGCCCGCTGGGTGTCACCTCTGTGTGAGGGGACTTGCCAGGCTCGGAGCCTGCTGAACTCTGGCAGAACCCAGGCAGCCCTGCCCTAGCGGGCCACCGAGCCCTCCCAGGTTTGCCCACCTGCTCCAGGAGGACCCGTGGGCCAGCTGGGAGACGCTGCCATCCCACCAGCCGGGAAGCCGGCGGGCCGGCAGGCAGGGCTGGCTCGCCCGCCACCGAGATGTGGGTTAGGAGGGGGATTGCCCATCTGTCTGCGTGTGTCGAGAGGGAAGCTGTCCTCCAGGCCTGCCTCCGTGTCTCATAGGCGGCTCTGTGCCCCTCACAGCTAGATGAAGAAGAGGAGCGAAGGAAAAGGCGCCGGGAGAAGAACAAAGTCGCGGCGGCCCGTTGCCGGAACAAGAAGAAGGAGCGGACGGAGTTTCTGCAGCGGGTGAGCAGGGCAGGGGCCGGGGCGGGGCGCCTGTCTCGTTCTTCAGAGCGGGCTCGGCACCAAAGCCTGTGGAATCGAGGTGGACCGGCCCGCAGCTGCCCACGGGGCTGCCACCCCTCTGTTCTTCCCTGCCTCCCATCCAGTGCCCTTTCCCTGACCCAAGACAACCCAGGGCCTCTGGCCTCAGGTCCGGCCCAGCCAGATCCCAGAAGGCCAGAGAAGGTGGGAGGAGCCAAGTCCCCTCTCTGAGGTCAGACCCTGGTGCCAATTGACCCACATGGCCTAGGACTGCGACTACCCCTTCCGAAACCCTGGTGGCTGCCAAAGTTGCCTAGGGTGGATGTTAACATAGGTGATAACCGCCCAGCTCGTGAGCGGTGGATGAAGCACCTGGAGAGAGAGAAGTTCCTCCCTTAGCTGCAGGAGGCTCTTCCAGCCCTGCATCCCTTCTGGCTGCCCTCAGCCCCCCTGAGGGTGGCCCCCAAGCCTCTGCCCCCGGGGACCAGAGGTCAGCTCTGCACTCGAAGGCCGGCAGAGGGGGTCACCTCCCTCCCCAGGCCTCAGAGCGGGTCCCCGCCCTTACACCTGGACTGTGCCAAGCAGGGTGTTTGTTCTTTTCCCCTCCGGAGTTCTAGCTCTTAGGCCTTCACTGCGTCTCAAAAATGATGGATGGCAGTGAAGGGACATGACCAGGAAAGCTAATCAGTCCAGGCTGGTAGTTTCCAGCCTCCCCACTCTGGATCACTTGTTCATTACTAAGTAATGATAGTCGCAATAATAATCCATGGGTCCGGCTCTATTCTGTAGGATGCAACAAGTAACAGAGGTTGCTAACATTTGTAAAGTTGGGCAGAGTGCCAAGTACTGTAAGTATATTATCTCTTCGTTGGCATATTAACTGTATGAGGTCAGTGCCTTCATTATTGTCTTTCTACAGATGGGGAAACTGAGGCATGGTGGGGTTAAGTTACTTGCCCAGGTCCCTCAGCAACGGAGTGGTAGAACTGAGATTCAAACCTGAGGCTACTTCAAAGCATTTATTCTTAACACTCTGCTATACTAGCTCTAATTCATTCGTTCATTCGTCCGTGTGTTTGTTCATTCTTTCACTCAGTCGTTGATTCGCTGACAAGCATTTTTATCCATATACTCAGTGCCCAGCACTGTGTCAGGTGCACTGGGGACACACAGGAAGGAGCAGACATGGTCTCTCCCGTGGGAGCTGGAGACACAAGGCTGACATGGCCTGGGTTTTCCCTGATGCTGGGGAATATATGGGTCTCTTCTCATGCTTGCAACCAGCAGAGAGAAAATCCAAGGTCACAAGTGTAGACAGCATGGGGCCATGGGTACACCAGTGGGCTCTGAGTATCTGGGGTAGGTGAATGGCCATTACAGGTGGAAGTTAGACTCCGAGAGCTGGGAGCCTTCTTGGAAGAGGAGGTGGACCAGCCCTGGGCTGGAAGTTTTCAAGAAGTTTCCAAGGCACAGGTCTCACACGGGCCTTGTAGATGGATGGAGAGTCCCGCACCTCATTTCCAGCCCTGAGTGCCCGCAGAGCTGGGTGAGGCACAGCAGGGAGCAGGGAAGTCTCACACCAGATCTCTGCCTTCCAGGGCTTGTCAGCCAGTTAGCAGGCAAGATATGCCAAGTGAACACACACTGGTGTGGTGAATGGTGCCAAATGAATGGTGCTAGCTGTTCTGCACATTCCAGGAACATTTGCTGAGCACTTACTGTATGCAGATATTTCACATGCCTCATTTAATCTTCTAACATTCCAATGCGATAAACATTGGTTATCCCCATTGTAGAGATTGACCTATAGCTCAGAAGAGGTCACACCAGAGTCACACTGCTAGCAAGTGTTAGAGCTGGGATTCATTTATCCCTTTGCTTATCCATCCATCTGTCCGTCCATCCATCCATCCATCCATCCATCCAATCAGTGTGCAGTGAGTACCTGCTGCAGAGCGGACAAGCAGGCGATGTCTGCATCGGACAGCAGATAGAAGTGGGGAATGGTTAATGTGTGCTGCACCTCGTGTTGGGCAAGCCCGGTGGGCCGTGAGAACACACCATGAGGCCCTATCCTAGCCTCGGCTGAGGAAAGACTGCTATTGAGACATAGACGAGACGTAGGAGCTAACAAGATGAAGGACAGGGATGGAGGGGTTAGCAGGGACAGTGCAAGCAAAGGCCAGAGGCAAGAGGTGCTTAAGGATGTGATTAAGGAATTGAAAAGAATGTCAGTATAGCGGGAACTTAGAGTACAAGGAGGAGAATGGAGGGGCAGGCAACCGCCCCCCCCCTTGCTATGTAGGGTGATCCTCTGTGCTTCGCTCTCTGGGGCAATCCCCCTTTATGCCTCTGGTCCTGGCCTATTTATTAATAGCACCTGCTTTTACTCTCACAAGTGTCCCCATTATGATGATGGATTATGTAGTCATGGCGAGCAATGGAAGGTTTCAGTGGGAGAGAGACACACCTTGGAAAGATCCCTCTGGCTGCAGTGTGGGGCAAGGACTGGGGCAGTGGGAAGACCAGTTATGTGGCTGTGGTGCTGTCCCTGGTGGCCTCAGGGTCTAGGAGGGAGGTTTGGGCAGGCCTGTCTGGGCCCATCCCAGTCCCCCTCTCCTCCCAGGCTCCCCTCTTTCCCTCTGGCCTTGGGAACAGAGTTGGGTGTGAGGTTTAGGACATGGATGCCGATGGCTGTGTTGATAGCCAGTGCCCACAGACCTGAGGAATTCTCTTGTAATTTATTTATTATTTTTTAAAGATTTATTTATTATTTGAGAGAGAGAGAGAGAGAGAAGGAGCAGAGGGAGTGAATCCCAAGCAGACTCCCCACTGAGCGCAGAGCCCGACGTGGGGCTCCAACTCACGACCCCGAGATCATGACCTGAGCCAAAATCAAGAGTCGGATGCTTAACTGACTGAGCCACCCAGGGACCCCTTGTAATCTATTTTTTAACAGGTAAAATATTTATAAGGCTCAGAGGTACAAATGGATATGTGTGTACCTCCCCCCCCCCACACGTATGTATAATGTAAAAAGTCACCTTCCCATCCTTGACCCCCAGACACCTAGAGCTGCCCTGGGAGACTCTTAGAGCCTCTCCGAGTTCGCCCGCCTGGACCAGCCGAGTCCTTGAGGCAGCCAGGGCGACCTCGGTACCTCCTCCGTCTGCAGTGAGGGGCAACAGCCCTTCCGCTTCACTCTCCGGGAACTGCTGCGCCTATCGCACCTTCATTCCCTGGGCTTCGGTAGCAGGAACCCCAGCTCACACTCCCATGGTGCTCTGTGCTCTTCATGGCCATTCTCCAAGTCTTGATGGTCACAAGAAGACGGTGACTCTGGGAGGAGGCGAGGCAGCCCCCACTCCCCTGACGAGGATTCTGAGACTCAGAGAGATGGAAGTTTGCTCAAAGCCCCACAGCAGCTGAGGCAGGACTAGAGCCCAGGGCTTCCTCTCCTGCTCCGCACGCTGTTTGGGTTGCCCGGGCTCCGGGAAATTGGGGATCTGGTTCACAGTGACATAGCTCAAGTGGCAGAGTCAGGATTTTAATTCAGACCGGTCTTTGGGGCTCAGAAGTGGCCACACCAGCCCTCTTCCCAATACTTACCCAAAAAAAGTTGGGAAGTAGAACTCTATTTTAAGTGCATTAGGGTAACTATTTTTTAAAAGATAAAATCAGAGAATCTTAATGCTTAAAGTCCCCTGGGCCAATCATTATATTTTCTGGGAGGAGACGGAAGCCCCGAGAAGGGAATTGACTTGGCCAAGGTCCCACAGCCAGGATGAAAAGCCAGAACACCCAGCCCCTTACCTGTATTTTTTCTCCCACCTTTGCTAAGCACGATAGTAGAGACAATGTTCTTTCACTTGCACTAATTCTATTCTAAAACAACAAATGGTTTCGTTTTCTCTAGGGCAATAAATACCTACCAGAAGGCAAAACGATAAACAAAAATGCAAGCAGAGTTATTTGCTTCGTAATTAACAGGTGAAGATCCTAGCCCACGTTTCTTAATTAATTAGGAAAACAGTTCAGGTGATTGCTGTTATAAAACCACAGACGACTTCTACAATCATGGTTAAAAAAAGATTCTTCTGAACTCATCTTCTACTTACACAATAAATAAAGACGTAGCACCACCCAATAAAACTACAAAGCAGTCAGTTACATTCCGACAGCCGGCCGGTCAGAGTTTAGGATATTCCATGATATACTCTAACATTTTAAAACCAACAGAACGCCGTGCCATTCCGATGATGAATGTGTGCGTGAAGCCACACGCCTATTTGGGTTTTTGTGCGACACAGATGTTCACCCATGAAGTTGGTTCGACATGCATCATTTAAGGAGGTAGATTGGCGCCTAGTACTGAATGCTTTGGGTCTCACCCTGGCCCTTGCATGTCCGCTTTTAACGTCCACTCACCTGCAACCCGACTGCTTCCTTGCCATCCCCCAAACGGCAGCCCCTTCCCCCACTGCAGCCCCCCCCC